TAGAGAGGTCAGACATATGGTCCTCTGGCTTCTAGGATCTCCGTAGGTTATTTTCCCAAGTTCTAAAGTGAGGATAACACTGGTCACCAATGCACATGATTGTTCCAGAATCACATGAGGTGTACACCTGCAGGAAGTACACCAGCTGCTGCGTAACACAGTAGCAGAATGTGAGGAGTGGTGCTGGCACAAAAGGCCCAGACAACAAACAAGCAGGACAACTTCACAACCTGCTACTTACTTTTACTATACCAAAGCATGTTGAAGATTGAAAAATAAATAAAAAACATAGTGTAGGCAGAGCATGGTAGTGTATTCCTTTAATCCCAGCACTGGGGAGAGGCAGGGGTAGGTAGAGCGCTAGGGCTACATAGTGAAACCCTGTCTCCAAAAAACAAAACAAAACAAAACAAAAAACAAAACAAAACAAAACAAAACAACATGCACCAAGCCATGCTATACTCCCAAGGTCTGACCCACATCTATCAAGCCTGCCTGGATAGATCCTAGACCCCTGCAGCTGCTACCAGTCAGGGAGCAATGGCCCCTTCCCAATACTGATGGGGGTTTGTCCATCACAGGTCAGAGCCTGACAGATGGAAAGGATGAGAGGCAGAGAGGTAAAGACAATGCACCCAGGATGAAGCTGTCTGACTCCTCTTTTATCCATCGAGCTCTGTTGTGCTCCTGGGAAGCCCCTTTCCCCCAACCCCAAACACCTTTTATTTTGGCTTATTTTGCTGTCTTGCCCCCACCCCCACCTTAAAACACTAAGCAAAGTCCTGAGCCTGGGTATTAGGTGGATGTGTTATGTTATGAGTTTGACCACTAGCAGAGTTGCTTCTGAATTTTGGAAAATACAGAATTTTAATCAGAAAGAACTTTATTTGCTACTCTATGATCTCCTTTGCTAAAGAAGAAACTGCTTTGGTCTAAACAGTAAAAATGGCTGACAAGTAGCACCAGACCAACCACAGAATTCTCAATTATGTAAAATATTTTATTTGGATCGGTTTCTTTATAAGTGGTCACACGTGTATCTTAAACCAATCCTGGAATCCTCAATGGGCAATCAAGACCTGCATGCCGGGCTGAGGCTGCTGGTTTATAGGCCATACTTGGGGGTAAACATGTCCTTCCCAGCCAGAAGTTACCAGGGCACATTCTCAGGGCACTTTTCCTACAGAACTCCCAGTTAGTGAGCCTGAGAGCTGGCTGATGGGTTGCAGGCTCTACTCTCCCATCTACCATGGTACAACACCTGCCAATGTGCAGCTCACAGTGATGACCATCTAGTGAACAAGGGGATGGAGATGCCTCCTCATCAATACATACACTTACCACCTTTCATACCAAGTAAGGCACAGCATTCTGAGTTCCACAAAATCCTACCTGCAAATGGCAAAGCCTAAGGCAGGAGACTTGAAATAGCCCTTCTTGTCCATCAAGAAACCAAGAGTGATCAATACCTGAGGAATGGATACTGAACTGAACGTACGAGTATTCACAAGTCAATGTGCTGCATAAACCTCTACAAAGACCAAAGATAAGAGTTCTGCTGAGCAATACAAGAAAGCCTTAATTTCCCCTTCTTGTTCCAAAGAAGCACCCATATTGGGAACAGGCAGCTGCTAGCTCCAATCTTTGACAAGGCAGTTCTCTGAAGGTGTGGCCCATCTGGCTGTAGGAAGAAGTTAGACTAGGACACATGTGACATGTGATGGAGTAGGAAGTCTCTGTGACAACCACACAAAGGTTAGGTAAATTAGAGGGAAATTTCCTAATGTATAAACAGGGGACAGAATAGTAGCATCTGAAGCAAATCTCAGATATCATCAAATCATTGGTGCTGAAACTCTAAACTGAGACCCGACCAAGGTCAGCAGAAGACAGCTCTTTTTCCTTAAGCAGGTCAAGAGGATGAGAGTGATCAGTTCCCAATCATCTGGTATAATGGAGCCCCTAAGGGAGTGGAGGTAGCCTTCTTCTAAGGCAATGCAGGCACTGGCTCTGAGCTGCCTGTTTTTCCTATACAGACAATCGCCCTAGCACAAACATGGTTCTAGACATGCTCGCTCTTGTCCACAGCTTCTGGATAGCATGAAGGCAACTGTGCTACATGCGCATGTCTACCTGAACAACCACGGCGACTAACTGTTATGCAGGCGCTGTACTGATTTTTAGCTTCTGTGGGGCTGGCTTTTGACCAGGCTGACTCACAAAAGACAGAACTGTATTGTTCTTGGCAGGCTGCCGTCAGTCCTGACTAAGCACTGGGAAGCTGAACCTCTAGTAGGCTGGGCCATGTATAGTAGGGTCTGGGAACAGGAAAGCAATTTGTGGGGTTTGGTGGGCTGAGGCTAGCCAGCCTCCTGCCGCTTGGGAGTGCAATCAAAGAAACCAATTATCTGCTATTAGGAAGGGGGGAGGGGTTTGCACTCTTGCATTACTTACTGGGCTAGGTCACTTCTCTTTCATCAGAGATGGGTACTGGGTTATCAGCAGAGGGCGCTGGAGGTATGCTGTAGGAACAAGGATGGCCAAGCTGCCTGCCTGGTATATTGAGCCTTACACTTGCCTATAAGAAATAACCTCCAGAGCCAGAATCTGCCTTGGGTGGCTGAGCCACACATCTCATGGGAGGTCTACCTACCACCACCAAGATGATCAGAGAGATCCTGTCTCGGTCACTCTTTCATCAGGTTTAAAAATCTTGCAGATGCCAACACTTTCCCAGCTTCTAGAACTCTGAGCCAAAATAAACTCTCTGTGTGCGTGTGTGTGTGTGTGTGTGTGCGTGCGTGCGCAATTCTTGCCTCACCCACTGTGTGGCTTCTCCTTCCCTTCTAAGGTGGTGTGTACCACTGCAGAGCACTCTGCAGATGAGAGAGATGCCTTCTACTCCATTCTACCCCATCTCCAAGCAAGCAGTGCTCCTCTGGGTAGAGGGAGAACACCCAGCATCAACTTAAGCATCCAGCTCAAAGTATGGAAGAGAAAGACACAAATAAAAGGTAAATGTGTGAGGAGAACCCATCAGAGGCAAACAAAGATTTGCTAGCCTTTCTAAAGCTATGTTGCACAATTATATCCCAGAACTCAGGAGGCTGAGGAGGAGATCAGGAGTTTGAGGCCAGCCAAGGCAATTTTGTGAAACCCCATCTCAAAAAAGAGACAATAATAAAATAGCCATTTTAAGGGCTGGGAATGTAGCTCAGTGGTAGAGTGCTTACATTCACAGGCTCTGGGTTCCATCTCCAGTGCTCTAAGAGACAGTGAATGAATGATCAAATGAATGAATTCAACCTTGCAGGACAGGCAATGCTGCACTTTCCTACCAGCATCATCTCACTGGGATGTCTAGTGTTGTCACACTAACACAGCAGATTTACAGATGTTATACTAAAAAACTAGCTCTCAAAAACGATAATAAACCTAGGTTATGTATGTCCTATGCATGTCTATAGCTCAGTCTTGCCTGAAAACTCTATTTCAAAATGTCCTGAGTCTTCTCTGCATACAGTTAGGTCCCTGCCTGCCACAAAAAGGACATGGGTATGAGCAGGCATCATTTGATAGCACTTTTTCAGAACATTTAGGTCAACGATGACCTACAGATCCACAGGGTACACTACAGGCCCTCACAGAGGCGTACCACTGACACAAAGATCCCAGAGGCTTCACAGAGCCCCTGGGGAAGACCGTGGCGACATACGGACCTGCATAAAAATTACCTTCCACAAGCCACAGGGTTCTTCTAGGCAGCACAAGGACCAGCACTTGCTTTATTAACATGTCACAGCAAGACTTCCAGAAAACAGAGTCATTTCAGAGGCCTCATTTTAACCCTCACAGCCACTACCAAAAAATAGTCAACTGGGAATATTAGGCAAATCTGAAAGGTGACTTTCAGGCTTGGTCTGATTTTTTCTGGGTGCAACCCTATGAGCTCCAGGGAGCTGCCCACAGCCTCTCCATGCCAGCAAAACAGGCAGAGGAAAGCCCGGAGCAAATTTACCTGAGAGCCTGTCATCCACAGGTACACACACCCACCATACACACCCACTTATTCCTGCTTTTACTTGGTGGAGTCAGGGCTAGAGAGGGTGCAAACACTCACCCCTGTCTGTTCCTCATCTAAGTGTCTACAAACCTACCTCTACACACACTAACAAAGTACTAGAATCATGTGCATCAACCCATACTACCTTCTTACATTCAGGCAAAGAAAAGTTTCTTTGCTGGCCTCCTAATTAGCTGCCTAGCTCCTGTGGGCACATCCAGGGTGCACCATGCCTAGAAGGTGATTTTTATGTCAATTTCTTCAGGACCCTAGCCTCATACACAGGACACAGTCTCTGCTGCATTCCTGGAGTCTGAGATGTACAGAGATGGAGCTCAGTGCCCCATAACCCTTCTCTTTGAGGCTGGAGAAAATTCAGATGACCAGTAGAGTGGAGGCTTGTCTAGGTACAAGGATCATAAAATGAAGGAGGATCTGCAAGCCATCAGCAAAGGACAGGGTTCTCCTTCCTTGGGCAGCCCAAGCCAGAATCAGATAAGGGGTATACACACTGAGGGGTGCAAACCTCAAACCCCATACATGTCCATGAATGCTCCTGCTCTGCACACTCAGACTACAGGAAGACTATACCAACTGCCTCACTTCTTGGGTTCTTTCTACCTTTAGCCACTAATAACAGAGTTTAATCCATGTGCCCTGGCAGCCCTGTGGGAAACTCTTTGCTCTGCTGTGTGAACTTCTGGGAAGAACACGCAGGGCCCTTGCATGTCAACCACATGGGCTCAACTCGAGGAAGAGGAGTCAGCAGCTGGAGACCTGCCTCCTGCCCTTACTGGCTCTGACCTGGGATTGTGCTGCACACACTGGGCGAAGTGTGCTGCACACACTGGTTCAACAGCTACAGCAGGACTCTTCGGTGGGTATAGTGTTAAAGCGGGAGGGGCAGAGGCTGGGAGGAGTGGCCCCAATCTAGTACCTGTGTCCGAGTCTTTCTGCTCTCCATTGGCCCCTACAGTGAAGGGCAGCTTCCGCTTTGTGGCTCGCTCTCTCACCTCCTTCCCTCCATCACTGCGGTCCAGCTTTGGGGTCTTGGTTAGAGAAACTTTATCTTTATCCTACAAAACAAAGTGATGCTTTTAGACATTATTCCAAGGTTAAATCCTCAAATCAGCTATGATTTCACTTCATGTGCCAGGAAAAGCAAACCTCTTACTGGGGCAATTAGGAGCCCCTATTATTACTCCAGGCCACATGTGCAGAGCTAGGCAGGCAGGTTCCACTGGTACCAAAGACCAGAAGCTTGAGCCGATTATGATCTGGCCTTACTATAGCCACACAGTCCATGTTGCTCATCCTATACCTGAAGGACTCTTGGAAAACAATTGCTGAGCATAGCTTCTGTGCAAATGAAGAAAACACAGCAGAGGCACATGCTGTCTCTTGCACCATACTGGTCACTTCACTGGGACAGGTATTGTTAACAAGGAGCAATGAGTTCATCCTGTAGTGTGGAATCACACTTTCACCATGAAGTCTCATGTGGAAAAAGGTCTGGCAGAGGCCTTTGAAGGTGCACATCCACCTTGCTCCAAGGGTTAGGCCCCAAGGTAACTTCTAAGACTATGGGTCCCCCTGTACATACCCACCTGACACTGGATGAGTTAGTTTTGCCATTCTGCTTCAAAACATGGGCCCATCAGCTGGTCCTGGTGACAAAGACCCCCCAGCTCTAACTTCTGTCTCATCCTAGGCCCAAGATACTGTGTGGAGGAATGTCTGCAGGTGAGAGGAATTCAGGGCCATCCTTGTAACTATAGACACTACACAAGGGGCTAGCAAGAGGGTCTGGTCTTGTAGGATAATAATCTAGGAATTGCCATTCCACCCCTGACCATTCACGTGCTGATCATCACCTGTTTGATCATGAGCAGGTCTGGAATTCCTGTTTGCCTCAATAACAACAGTGTAGAGTGGGGACAGTGTATACCTCCAGAGGTAGGAGCCTAGGGACACTGTACACTCTCTCAGGATGAGGTACTGTGACTACTGCAGTATCTAAAAATGTGCCTTGTAAGAGCAAGTCTGTACTTGAGGAGCAGGGGTTACAAGATGTTTGTGCACATGTAGAACATGGAACCATGGGCGAAGGGCCCACACATGACAACAGCTAGACATCAAAACCCAGATGGAACTGGAACATGATGGTGGATACAGGAGTGCACAAAGTATATCCTCACAATGACAGATAAAGTTGTTACAGAAGCTATCAGCCACACTGCAAAACTTGTTTTGCAGAGCAAAGGTTAGCTTTGTCAGTGCTACATCCAGACCCAGGAAGAGCTGCTAGCACCAGGTTCACCTGAGTGAGGCTGTCAGTTGGGATTTGTCAGTTCCAATGAGCACTTTGGACTATACAAGGTATAGCCATTTCTGACACTGGCTTCTCTCCAGCCCTTATCACAGAGGGAAGCTCTGGCCCTGATTTCCCTCACAGATGGTGCCTTCCTGCACAATAGCCAAGTTCAGGGCTCAAAGGACACACCAGCACACATGCTGGAGCACCTAACACAGAAGTATGACAGTACTCAAAGGTCATTTTGGAAATACTGTATGCCTGAATGGTGAAAGCCTTTTACTTTAAAAGTGACAAACAACAATCATAGCTTTTGCACTGGTATTTCACTAAAAAGCTTCACAATTAAAAAGGAGGAGAAGGAGGAGGAGGAGGAAGAGGAGAACTTTTAGCTCCCTGCCTAGGTTAACTACTATAAAGAAAACACACTGGGGGCTGGAGAGATGGTTCAGTGGTTAAGAACACTGGTTGTTCTTGAAGACCTGGGTTCAAATCCCAGCACCCTCATGGCAGCTAACAACTGTCCGTAACTCCAGTCCCAGGAGATCCGACAGCCTCTTCTGACCTCCGTGGGCACTGCATGACATGGGTGCACTTACCTACATGCAGGCAATACACACATACACATAAAATAAAAATAATAAAAAATAAAAATAGGGGCTAGAGAGATGGCTCAGCGGTTAAGAGATGGCCTGCTCTTGCAGAGGCCCCGGGTTCGATTCCCAGTACCCACATGGCAGCTATGAAGCGTCCTTAACTCCAGTTCCAGGGGAATCCAAAGGCTTCTTCTGACCTCCGCGGCATTGCACGACACGGGTGCACTCACATACATGCAGGCAATACACTCAAATAATAAAATAAAAATAAAAATAAAAAATAAAACACACTGATTCCAATGGCATTATACTGAATTTATGCATAAATTGGGGAGGGATTGCACCTAAAAATTATTGAATTTTCTGACGAATGCACTAATTTAGGTCTTCCCAATGTCTCTCAATAATTTTTGGGCTTAGGGGTACAGGCCTTACAGCACATCTTTCAACAAGTTTATTTTATTGGGCTGGAGAGATGGCTCAGCGGTTAAGAACATTGCCTGTTCCTGTGGAAAACCCAGGTTCAAATCCCAGCACCCACATGGCAGCTAACAACTGTCCGTAACTCCAATTGCATGACACAGGTGCACTTACCTACAGGCAGGCAATACACGCATACACATAAAATAAAAATAAAATATTTAAAATAGAAACAAATTTATTCCAAAATAACTCATTTTTCAAATGTTTCCGTTAACCTCCTTTGGAATTTTTTTGCTTTTTAGATTTACTTTGGGGTTGGAGAGATGGCTAAGTCCAGTTCCAGGGGATCTGGCATATCTTTTCCTGATCTCTGTGGTTAAACATGCAAGCAAAACACTCATACACATAAAAATGAATGTCAAAAATTTTAATTTATTTTTTAATTATGCATGTTAGGGGGTTGTACATGTGAATATAGGTGCCCTCAGAGGTCAGAAGGTGGCAGAGTCCCTGGAGGAGGTTTGTTTATAAGATTGGGGGGAGGTCCCCTTACCATATAGCATAGGCTAGCCCTCCTGATTCCATTTCCCAAAGGTAGGATTACAGATGTGCATCACTATACCCAACTTTAAATATATCTTAAAATTCAAATCCCCAATTTTTCATATTTATAAGTATACTTTTATATACTGGCTATGCATTGTGACACTTTGCTCAAATCACTAATTCTTACAAGTTTTGTGCAACTTTTGGGTTTCTCCATAGATATCTTAGAAGAAAGAAAATTTACTCCGTCCTTTCCCATCTCACGTGTTCTTTGCTTCTTTTACGTTGCTATATGCTAGCTAGAACCTGCAGCATAATGCCAGCAGTGGAGACAGGAGGTGTCTTCTGCCTTGATTCCAACCTTATGTGGACAGTGTTCAGCTCTCTTCCATTAAACAATAACATCAGCTGCAGGCTCATAGCTGCTCTATATTAGACTGAGGGAATTCCATCTACCCAACCCCCCCAGTATTTTTTTAATGGATATTTATTAAATTATCCATTAAATGGATGGTGTAACAGATGTTTTTGTTATACCAAGTGATGACATAAACTTAGAAGACAACATAAGGAAAAGTTTAGAATGATCTTGCATGTGACTAAAATTTTAAGAAAAGCATGAACTTTGAAAAGAAAATATAAGCTGAGGGCTGGAAGAATGGCTCCATCTATCTAAAGTGCAAGCGTGCAGACCTTAGTTTGGACTCTGAGTATCCACATAAAAAGCCAGGTGTGGCAACATAAACTTGTAATCCTAGCACTGGCGACATAGATCCCAGAGGCTTGCTGGTCAGCCGGTCTAGACACTAGTGAGCTCCAGTTTCCATGAGATGGTCTCAAAAAAAAAAAAAAAAAAAAAAAAGTTAAGATGCAGGGCTAGTAAGGTGGCACAGAGGGTAAAGGTGCCTGTTGCCAACCTTGCCGGCCTGAGTTTGATCCCCAGGACCCATGGTAGGAGAGAATGAGCCCTGGCAAGTTGTTCTCTAGCCTCCACATGCATGCAGAGGCTCACTCAATCAATCAATCAACAAAAATAAGGTGGAAAGCAATAGGGGAAGACACTTGGCATCAACCTCTGGCCTCCACATGTACCTTCACACACACAAGCATATATCTATCTACTGATAGATGATAGATAGATGATAGATAGATGATAGATAGATAGATAGATAGATGTACACATATGTAAAACACTACACATCTGACACATATACATACTAAACTAACTGCCAAAGAATTTAGACAAGTATTAAAGGAAACTGGGATGACCAGAATACTACATTGTAAAGTTGCAATGGAGTTGCCACAGTGGAGCTGTAGGACCTGTGCCCAGGGGGGCCCAGAGTGAATGCGGTTTGTAAGTGGTTTTTCTCTAAGGGAGAAGAGTTTATTTTACAGTATTAAAGACAGGAAGTTAAATATTGGGGAAAAAGGACCACCAGAGAACTTCTACTCAAAGACATATTCCTACATCCATGGCATATATGCTACTACTGTTGCGGGAGGGGGGGACGGGACGGGACAGGACAGAGTGGTTTCCTCAGCGCTAACCTGGTGGGGGAAAAGATGAATGACAGTTAAAGCAGTGCCAGAGGGTTGTACTCTTAGGTATTGTTTTATTTGAATGGGATGGGATGGGTGCACTAGGAAGCTATGCTGGTAAACACACTGAAGTTCTCAGTGACTTGCTGGTCCTGCCTGTGCTAGCCTATTCCGGGACTGGTTTGGAGAGAGGGCCTAAACCTGGTAAGGTCTGACTCCTTTCTCCTCTGCCTTAGGAAAAGGAAAACATCAAAGGCCAACATTCACATTCCAGAAGTCCGTCTGGGACCACATCATGTGGCCTCTCTGACACCCAGCCAGGGCTTTGGGGGGGGGGGGCACCATCAGAGAAATAAGCTCTACTTCCATCTCTTTCTGTGATCTTGCTCTCAAGTACAGCCTCTGCACCTCCTGTGCTGTGAAGAGTAGGATCCTGAGGCTACAGCTACATTTCATATACAGACCTCAAGACATTTCTGGGAAATCACAGGCCCAATAATATAACCACAGCCCTGTCACCCTCCCTTGGTAGCCCTCACAGCTACCTACTGAGGTAGGCTTCATCCTCGAGAGCAGCTGTCAGTTTCATGCCTGGTGTGAGTTTCTGTCTATCACAGAACCACTTTGGGTTCCACAAAGGCACTTTGATATTGTAGGGAACCACTAGACATGATATCCCACACAGGTATACCATTTTCAAACTAAGGTATGCACTACCCTTAAAGGGCACAATGAAGCAGGGGCAGGTGCTCCCTCTCAGAGCTCCTGTTCACTGGGTCTGCATAGGACAGGTTCTCAGCTAAAGAGCTGGCCTTTGAGAATACACTTTGAGAATTACAGGAGAAGCTCTTCTGCATTTTCATGTTCATGCTGAGACAGGATTATGGCCTGTCAGGAGAATGAAAATGGCCCTGAACTGAGATGAGAGATGTCACTTCTTACAAGTGGCCTTGGTAACAACGCAGCCTTTTGGCTCTCTGGACAGAGCATGTTCACCAGGGCCGGGGATTTGCTGGTTCTTACTGAAAATACTTCAGCTTAGATATTCCAAAAGTGTTTCTTAAACAGAGCCTATGAGAAGACCCAAGAAAGCCCCTCCCTCTCCACATGGCTGCTTGTATCACTGATGGGTCTGCAGCAAGATATGTGCCAGAACCACATGCTCTGTCCTGTCACTCAAAAATACCTCACTCAGATTATGATCCATTTGGATAAAAATCCAAAAAATATGTTGCTTTTAATAACATGAAATTATATCTGAGGAAACGAGTACTCAGTGACAGCTGAAACCAGTCCAGTGCCCTGTGTTACCAGCTCCCAAGCTTTGCCACTGTGGATCTTCTGAATTTTCTGAGGAGCAGATGCCAAAGCACTCCACCTTGGACTGTGTCTTCCCAGGTACTACCTTGAGTCATCAGGTAACCTAGGAAAGCTCCACTAGTGCTGGACACTGACAGCAGCATTATATGGCAATTTCATGGTTCCATTTATCTCCAGAAAGAAAAGCTTGGCGTTCTGCTGAGTAGTTTAAACGAACAAGCAAGCAGCAACAAAATAAGACATGGCTACCCTGTTGGGGGAGGGGGTAAGACCACGACCTTAAATCCATCCATGCACTGCTCACAGTCAGTACGTAGATACGGTTCATACTTGTATTCTCAGGACCAACTAGGATCAGCTCAGTCCATGTCTTCTCTGTTAACAACAACCCAAACCAACCTGAAACACTTTGCTGTTCATGCGTCTTGGACAACAGGACAATAGGGACTACGCTGTTACTATGTGGCTGACACAGCCAAACTTTTACAACTTTCATCACTGCAGGCTACCCTCTAGAGCTTATCTCCTTGGGCCCTGCTAGATCTCCTTCCCCGAGGCAAAGCTCACCTGTCCTATGCAAACGAAAGCTTTACCTCCTTGGTGACAAAGTCTGAGAGCCACACTAGAAGAATTAATTGTTCCATGCACAGCTTGTTCATCTTTGTCAGACTGGGCACTCAACTACAGAGACCAACCGAGATCCAACCTTTGATTTCCCCATCTATGTCGTAAAATCTGCCGAGTGTTCAATGAGAGCCAAGCCCAAAATGGTCTTACTCTCTTTTAGAGACATTTTGGGGATTCTGGAACTCCTATTTGTACTACCTATGTGAATGAAAGAAGCTTTTGTCCAAAACAGATAGGCAAGCAACACAGAGTTCAAACCTCTACAGGATCAATTCTGCTCTCTAGGGGCAATTTGAACTCTCTGGGAGGAATTCTTTATCTGACAAAAGCAGCAGTCAGGCAAGATGCAGAGCATCTAAACTGAAGCCTCAAGAGGTAGTGAGGGGAACACAGGTAACAGAGAGCGGGTGGGATGCCACGGGTTTGAGCAGCCAAGTACATGATATCCCGTGCCTTCACAGAGCTGAGCTGTCATGTCCTTGAAGATGCATGCTGGTTCTGAGGTCCATTACACACCCAGTGAAATGAAGAGGAGGCCAAGGCAGCAGCTAGCACCAAGATAGGAGGACATATGGTGTTTGAGTCAGGGCTAAGGACAGGTGTCGAGGGGTTGGATCAGAAGGAGCAATCAAGAACTCAAGATGAGGACTAGAAAATAATCTTATAGATAGCCTATCGCACATGCAAACCAGAGGAGGAACAAAGACAGTCAGAATTAAGTGACCTGCATTCTGAGGATATGTCAGAATTCTTCATCTCATCAGCTCAGAGGTGCTTTTCCTGTTCTATCACAGAAAGAAACCTAGACCCAGGGCAGCTCGTGGACTTGGTAATGGCCACATAAATAAATGAATCCACAAATGACTGAAATTATTTGTTTAGCAAAGCCTTAATCTGGATCCTCATTCTGTTTAATTCCAGATTCAAGTTCACAGGTCTTCCCTTGAGGAAGTATGTACTACAGAGTCTGGTACCAATAGCACGTGGATAAAGTATAGTGGTTTTGAGTTACATTTTGTGTTCCTATTCATGCTCTGACTACACAAAATTTGGAAACAAACTTCTCCATAGAGTTTATAGTCAGGTAACTGAAACCATGACAAAAAAGTTAGGCAACAGGCAATCAAATAGCGACTACCTCAGAGCAGCTTCTATACACAAGTCTGCCAAGGGCTTTACTCTGAGAGGTGTAAGCAGGGGCTCCTCTGGGGGTGTCTCCTTACATATCAAATCACAAGAACTCTGTTAACTCCTGAGAGATAAGACCGCACTAAGCAGGTTGAGGACAGACTACTGAGCTGCCCCCATGAACACAAGGGTGTGAGTGCTGCCTTTAGCCCTTTTCCTGAATCTTACTGATCTAAGGGAGGCAAAGAAGGATGGGACAATCCAAGTCTTACCTTTTTCCCAGTTTGTTTCTCCACCATGTCGTTGCTGAGAGGAAAGTCTTCTTGCTGTGGTGTTTTAGAACACCCACCCTTGGGCATCGTTCTCCTCCCCTCACTTGATCTTCATTTATGCTGCCATTGCTTCGTCATCAACTGTCTGCTTCAAAAGAAAGGACAGAGAAGGTTAAAAGTTGCTCAACTCTTAAGAACAAAACCTGGCCAACCTCATAGGGAAACCAAATAAGATTACCCAGCCAAGATCAGCAGTTGCTTTGACCTGGGTGGGCAGAAGGGAGCTGGGCCAGGGAGGGCCATGTCAAGAGGCAGCTCCCAGGGTCACCGCGATAGGAACACTGGCTATGCTACATAAAGGAGCAAAACAGACTGCAGTTCATGGTAGAAAGGAATGCCCTCTATTCTGGGGAGCAGCCACTGGCACCCAAAGCATGGATTCCTTTAACACAGATCCAAGCCACTATGGGATGGGGCTGAGTGGTCCTAGGAACTCTGCTCCTGCTCTGCATATTGTCATCCCTGCCTTCCTCACAAGCCAGGTAATATGACTACCCAGAGCAGTGAGTGCCTAGTCCTCAGGCCTAGCATAGATCATATTTCTTTTTGTTTGTTTGTTTGGTCTTTTTGAGACAGGATCTCCCTGTAGCCCCAGCTGGCTTGGAACTCACTGTGTAGACCAGAGTGGCCTTGAACTCACAGAGATCCTCCTGCCTCTGCCTCCTGAGTGCTGGGATTAAAGGCATGTGCCAC